AGCCTTATGTTTATCTTGCAGCTCGTCCGGAGGCAGCCCTCTCATCGGTGCAAAGAAGTCTATGATCGAGTATGGCTGTTTCTCAAGGCGTGCGGCCCTCCAGCTACAGTTTCCATTGCTATAGATGAAAGAGTTTTCAATTAGATGCAAGAATGAGGGAGTTGCAGGAGGCCCTGGCCGGTCTAGGGCTTGAGTCGGCGTCTCCCTACCACCATGGGGCTTCAGGGCGCCTTGTTCCAGAGGACAATGACGCTTTTGAGGAGCTGAGGCCATATCGCCCCTTGGTCGCCGCTCGGATTCGAATGACAGGCGCAGGAAGTTGGGATTGCGAGCAGTTCCTGTCGGATCTCTGTACATGCCCTACATCGAGCCTGAGATCAAGTGCTTCGATGTGTTGCCTCCTTCTGGACAGTATCCAGACGTCAGAGAAGGAGATCGTGAACAGACCTTGCAGCTTTGCAAGGTATGGGATGCAAATCAATTGCTGCGCCTTGTTCCTATATCCCATGGGCCAGGTCAAGATGAACCCCACCTCCAAAAGTTTTCGGGAACTTCAAAAGTCAAGAAGTTGACCGCCAGATTGGAGACCAACGTGGTAGAAACTTTGTAGAAGCAAGGGTGTCAGGAGGACCTTCCCATGACATTCCCAATGCTACAGCGCTGCTTCAGCTTGAAGTTCCTCGCTTCAGTTGGAGCCATTGCTGATCGACGGGATTTTTACGACCAGTTTGCAGTTACTCAAGAACGTTCAGCTGTCTTTCCTCCGTTTGCCCTGAAAGAGCTCTATGGCTGCAAGGCCTATGACAGGTTCACTGAGGACTTTGGCACTTCAGCTACAAAGAGGAAGAAGGATCGAGAGCTCGCAGGTCACGCCCCTCCTTGTGGGTTGCGAGGATGATGCTTTGGTCTATGCCTCCTTTGCTGCCCTCTTTCAAGGGGACCACCTTGGCGTTGAGTTTGCTTCCTGTGCCCGCTCCAACATGCTCGAGGAAGCAGGATGCCACCCTATAGCAATCCGGCTATGTGCCGATCAGCCTATACTTCACAACAAGCCTGTGACAGGGCTGGTGATCGACGATTACTGATACATAGAGATGGAGCCCAGCATCACAAGTACTTACCCCCCTGCTCCCATGATTTCCTATGCCGTGCAAAGAGCGCCTATGGTCAACAAGTTGACTCCAGCTAGGATTTGGCCAAGAAAGGCCTGGCGCCTTTGGGGGCCCAGTAGGGAAGCGCTTTGGACTTATGATGCTCAGCGCAGTTGCGTCGAGGCTCTTTCAGGTCATTGATGCAAAGGATCTGACGCCCATATGGGCCCCCTCGTCAGCAGGAGTTTGCTTTGATGACCGTTTGCGTGGAGGCCCGTTGTCTTGCACGGAAATGCTCCAGGAATCATCCCCACATCAGGATTGAGGGCAAGTACACGAAGGCCAGTGCAACATACTGCCCGGGCTTAGTCACCGCCCTGGCAAAGGTATTCTGGCAGCACATCCGAGCTTTGAATGGAATCCTCTGCGAAGAAGATCGCAGGAGAGGCCTTGAAGACATTCTGTCAAATGAAGTTCTCATCACGGCAGACTGGAAAGTTTTGGCCTCGTGGGGATGGAAGGGCTCCGCTGCTGCGCTCAGGGCCTATGAGGCAGAGGCTATCCGAGGAGGTGATCTTCGTTAAATGTGGCACTGTGCTCTCCGGTGAGGCGAAGGAGCTCCTCCATTGCATTGCAGCTATTGCTCAAGAGGGCTAGTTGCCTATCCTTGGCCTATGGGCTACATCAAGCAGGCAGATATGCTCCTGGGATACTGAGATCCCCGAGCGACCGTCTCCTGGCTTTGGAACACTTGGCCAGGCAGAGCTTCGACGGTTGTCCTCTTTGTCAGGACTGAGGAGGTGGACCGCAAATTGGCTACGTCTTTGCATCCTACTCTTCCTGGCTCAGCTTTTTCACGGATGACACCTGCTTTCGTCGGCGCGGCCCTGCCTTAGAATTTGATTTTCATGTCAACATGGATTTTGATGCCTCCCTTGGATTTCCCGGCAAGGGTCCTGTGTTGCACCAGTTGTTTGTCCTTCTCTCCCTCATGACCTCTCCTAGGTTAGGTTGGGGCGCCGGCACGAGCCATGGAGACCTGCTCAGGCAGAAGCAGCGTGAAGGCATTGAGCTGCCTGAGGGAAGGAGGGTGACTGAGCTGACCACATCTGTGAGGGGACACCCCGCTTCAGCGTTCAATGCCTGGTTACGGCGTGAAGGCATGTCATTTGAGGAGGTGTTCATGTCTACGCCTCCTGACCTGGATAGAGTCAACAAAGTGCTGACGCAGTATGGGCGCCACCTTTTTGCTTGTGGCAAGCCCTACTATCATCTATCGGAAACCATCAACCTGGTCAGTGCATACTGAGGCGCTCACTAGAACAGGCGTGGGATCTCCGCGCCATCCTACGAACCCGTGGAGCATCACCGCATGGTTTGTGGCTGGACGGGAAGCTGCACTTTTTGCTACGCGCTGGGGAATGCTCCTCCGGCCAGGGGGGATACTGAGTGCACGTCGGCGCGATGTTATTTTGCCGCAAGATGTGAATTTCTCAGTGGACCACATCCTGTTGAGAATCTTGGAGCCCAAGACGAGGTTCAGGGCGGCCAGGCATCAAAGCTCGAAGCTTGAGGCCCCAGATTTGACGCTGATAGCTTGGATTGGACTTGGAGCCCTGAAACCACATGAGTACCTTTGGACAGGTTCGTCGTCGGCTCTGAGGCACCGATTAGACAAGGTCCTTCTCAAATTTGGCCTGCCGATCACGACGATGAACCGCCAAAAGCCAATGACGCTCGCTTCATGTAGACCTGGTGGAGCTACTTTCATGATCAGCCAGACGGAGTCTGCTGAAATGGTCCAACAGCGAGGCTGTTGGCTGTCCCTGAAGGTGATGAATTTATATATATAATATATATATATATATACTAGACAAGAGGTGGCTGCATCCACCTTCATGACGGACATTCTAGAAGAATCGAGGTCGATGATTCTGCTGGCGATGGGACCAGAGAAGGCTTGGTATGTCCTTTTCAAACACGAGCCGCATGGAGTCTTCATGACAGGTTGAGGTGGGCAAGATGGGCAGAGAAGACCTCAAAACGAGGCGCCGCCGCCACGCCGTTCAGAGAAAGCTGGCTGAAAAAGACCACCTGATTGCTCCTGGCACATTGGGAGCACGAACAAATGTCTTTCGCCGCTCTGAAGCTCTCCCACCACCGCCGCCTACAACCACCGTCCGCGGCACGTGTTTTGCATATTTTTGTTCGGTGGCAGAGAAGACTTCAAAACGAGGCGCCACTGCCACACCGTTCAGAGAAAGCTGGCTGAAAATGACCGCCTGATTGCTCCTGGCACATTAGGAGCATGAACAAGTGTCTTTCGCCGCTCTGAAGCTCTCCCACCACCGTCGCCTACAACCGCCGTCCGCGGCGCGTGTTTTGCGTGTTTTTGTTCGGTGGCAGAGAAGACCTCAAAACGAGGCGCCACCGCCACACCGTTCAGAGAAAGCTGGCTGAAAAAGACCGCCTGATTGCTCCTACGTAATTGCTTTACACCTATGGCTTTTCTTCAGACATATGCCGTTAGGACTGCAGAAGAAAATGTCTCAATGAAAGAGATTTGGGACATGAAGAGCCAAGTGTACTCAAAGGTTAAACGGTAAGCGGTTTTTCAGTCAGTAGGAGGCTCTCGCGCAGGGATTCTGTCTAAAGGGTCTGGTTTGCGCGATAAAGGAAGCCTTTGGATGTGGTAGCATTTACAAAAGAAGGATCATGATTTTCAGCAAATGTATAGCCATACGTATGTGTCAAGGTACTCAGTCCAAGGTACTCAGTACAGCATCAAATAATATGTATTGTGCAGTGCACCTGTAAGCATGTGGTGATATGTCAATAGATAAGCTGTCACCTTGTCAGTCAGCATGTCAGCACATATTATGTGAGCAGATGGGTGTATATGACATGCAATGTATAGATGTATGTTCATATGCTACTTGCCCGTTTTTTTTATGTCAGTCTTGTGTGCGGACATGTCAATGTGAGGCATGTGGCTACATGCTAGTCTCAGTCTCCGAAGGTATGTAAGGCCAAGGTTATGTGGGTAAGACGCACAAATGTCGGCTCAGATGCCAGTGTCAATGCCCGTGCGCATGTGGGCACATACGTCAGAAAATGTCCCATACATTGCATTTTTTTTTGGGGGGGGGGCATCCGTGCGCATTCGAGGCTTCAAGCCAGAATATGTCAGCTCTTTTTTGTTCATATGCCGTTTGCTTCAGCGTGTCAGTGTACATGTGAGCCGGTGTATGTCATTCTACATGTCAGTAGGCATGTCCTAAATAAAAACCAATGTCAGAAGTCAGAAGATATGCGAATTCAAACGTCAGTAGACATGTCGGCGCATATGTGTGGTGCGATGGCGTGCATGTCAGCAGGCATGCCCAGCGACATGCCATACACTGATACACTTACTGTATTGGTGCAGGTGTCAGTGCTTATGTCACTACAAATCTTCCTGTAGTCGCATCAGACAAATTCTCAGGATGCATACCAAAGCAGACGCCCTTTCTAATTCCCAATCAATTCCTTATTCAGGGTGGGCTTCATCAATTGAACCTTTTTCGGAATTCCCCTTCCCGAGGCCACCTGCGAGCTGATGCAGGCAGAGTCGGCTGGATGAGGGCAAAGAGGGGCCAGGGACAGGCAACCAGAGCAGCAGAGCACCGTTGGCTTTGAACCCTCCCGCTCTTTGGTCATGTCAGGTCGATGCATTTATTGGAAGACATCCGAGATTTGCACCGAAGTCTTTTTTGCCAACGCCTGTTTCTGCTGCGGAGCCATTTTGGTTCTTAGCTTACTAGCTGGGCCAGTGTCATGTTGGGCACCGAGGCAATGCATGGGCTTTGCAGACTTGTTTGTTGCAACTTCTGTCAATTGCAAATCGCAAGCTGCTGGTTCAACCAACCCATGTCAGGTTGCTTTCAATATGAGGTCCAGCATGTTCCAGCTGTCCTTTGCATGCAGGTTGAATATGGCGAAAATTGGGGCAAGCATGTCCAGGCTATCCTGGAAGGAAAGAAGCCGGACGAGTACATCTTCTACAACAGGATCTTCCACTAACTTGCTTTCCAGACTTGTTTTGGACGCACTTCGTAACTTTGCATAACCAGCTTGATGAACCAACCAGTCACCGGGCAGAATCAGACAAACAGCAACTGTATATAGGTTTGGGTGCGTTTGCCCACGTTCATCCTGAATACTCTTCATTTTGGTCCTGCCTCATCTTCCAGCGTAGAATGGCTGGAGACGAGGCCAATCTTAGCGACACTGCACGAACCACAGGCACCTGGGATGTGCGGGTGGGCTGGTTGGCAGGAATGGCAAGTCCATCCCATTGCTGGAGAGCGGCTATGTCCCAATCCCGGATGAGTTTCCTTTGCGAATCTTTGGCCCGATCCGAACGAGCTTTGTGACCAGCGCATCGATGCCTGTGCAGACATCGACCTTGCAGATGCAGTTGCCAGTGCAGCCGCAGACCATTCCTGTAGAAGCAGGCAAAGCCGGTCGTAACACAGAATAACTCCACCGGGATTGTCTCCGAAACTAGGCAGACTGACCACCCATCAACTCATTGTATCTCCGTTTTGGTCAATTTTGCTCGCCGTGGCTGGAGCACACCTGCTCACGACAGGTGAGGATGCTTTTGGGAATCGGGACATGGTCTCAGAAACTGTCACTGACCTCACAGACCGCTATGTGATGCAGGATAAGCTGGGCCGCTTCTCCTGAGAAAACCGATTCATCTCATGTGAACTGCAATATGTGAATCGCGTTCGGTGAATGAATAGGACCTATGTAAAATGGTGCTTTCCAGGTGCTGAGTTGGGCTGGCCTTCAATTGAATTTTCTTCTTGTATTCAGATGCAAGCTGAGACGCGATAACAACCTCGACACTGAGGAGAAGGGACATATGGCACCGTGTATCGGGCCAAGTGCAAGCAGAGCCACCGACAGGTAGCTATCAAGCGAATTCGCGTTCTACAAGAAGATGATGCTTGGCAGCTTCTTGTGACTGGAGGATCCTTGTTATATCGGAGAAACTAGACAAAGTGATGCCCCAATTCGAAAGTGACGAGAGTAGCTACTGTGCCTACTGTGTAAATCCAATCTGAGCAGGATTCGTGCAGCCGGGCACGTGCCTTCGTGTGGCTCAGGATGGTGTTCCTGCAGTGGCCCTGCGGGAGATCTCGCTCCTGAAAGAGTTGAGCAACAAACATGTGGTGAAGCTGCTGGATGTCTACAGCAGCCCTTCGAATTTGTATTTGGCCACTGGGCCACCACTGGGCCGTGAAAACTGTCATACCCTTCGCAGGTTGTACTGGTGTGTCAATGTGTCGCCATTCTTCTGTAGCTAGAAGGGCGGCGCAAGACACCTTCCCACCACTTCCCGCACTCTGTGCAGTGGGGGTTCTTGTCCTACCAAAGCTTTCACTGGCCAATTTCACCTGAGTGCAGTTCCTGGACAGTCATAGATGAGAGAGCAATTGACAAGACTTGCGCAAACGTTTAGTTTGTTGTGGGTGCAGAGTGTAGAGCACAGATTTGCCCCAGGTCTTTGAACGCATGGAGATGGATTTGCGGGTCTACTTGAAGCGGAATGGACAGATGGAGCCTGCGACCCTGAGGACTGGGTCTTGTTTTTCTCGAATGCGTAGCGAAGGGTTCTCGTTCAACTCTGGGGGTCTGGGGGCAGGCTCTTGTTTGCGACTTGTTGTCGTTGCGTTCGCAAATGTCCCCGGTAGGTCGCTATGGGGCGAAGCTTTTGGAGAGGGTTTCGGATGGAAACGTGACGTGTCAGATTTGGTTGAAATAGCGAGGAATCGTTAGATGTTGAAGTGTGGAGGATGATTTCACTGCGCAGGCGCAGCGTTTTGTGAGATTCGCTGTTTTCTACGCAGTCACATTGGGATTAGCGTTTGGAGAGTGATGTTTTTTGGATGTTGGATGTGGCTGTGACATAGGGATTTTGGTTGTAGGCTATTGCTTCGAAGCGGTGTTTTCGTGACAAGGCTCAGACAAAGCTGCGATTTTGGTAAGCGTGAGTGTGCTCAGAACGTGTCGAAATCATTCCAACGTGTGGAGAGAGGTGCAACGTTTGCTGAAGACATGAAGATCGTGGCAGGTGCAGTACTTTGTGCGTGCTGGAGGTGTCGAAGTTGAACATTCGTGACAGCCGCAGCCTCGCGACCATGTCCTACAAGAATCTCCCTCAAATGTGTCCTACAACAGCATCCCATAAGACAAAAGAGTAGAGTGTCCCGCAAGAGTGCCCCACAAGACGGTGCCACAAAGCAGTCCCACAAGTCCACAAGACTGCCCCACAACAGCTTTCCACCCACAAGAGTGCCACAAGAGTTTCCAGAAAAAATTTCCACAGGAGTGTCTTACAAGAGTGTCCCGCAAGAGTGCCCCACAAGAGTGTTGCACCAGAGTTTTCCACAAAAACATCCCACAAGAGGGTCTAGCGAGAGTGTCCCAAAAGAGTGTCCCGCAAGAGTGTTCCATGACAAGAGTGTCGCACGAGAGTTCCCAGAACCGTTTTCCACAAGAGTGTCCCACAAGAGTGTCCTACAAGACTGTCCCACAAGAGCACCGCGTACAAGAGTGTTTTACAAGAGTGTCCCACAGAAAACGATGTTTGGCCGTTTGTTTTTGCGTGCGTGTTTGCATTTGGGTTCGTGGGCACCAGCTCATTTGAGAACAAACCTCCTGCAATTGATGGCGAGCTTGCAATGTTGAAGCTCTATGCCGATGGTCATGCGCCGCATAGCCTCTAGTGACTAGCGTGTTCAAGCCTTTGGTTTTGTCATGCTAGCTGATAGTATGGGTGCTTTTGACATTGCTATTTTGTTGGCATTTTGTGGTGTGCGCAACATGTTGAAGCTGACCTTGGGGTGGACCAGGAATGCCACGTGGCAATGTGTCAGTGGGATCGAATTCTGCCATTCCCGACGGGTGATCCACCGCGATTTGAAGCCACAAAATGACCCTTGGCGTGGAAACCGTCCTTTCCCAAGGGTTGCTGCAACTCTTTCGAAGTTCTTGATGTTCTTGTCTTGCTGGGTAGCGCCATTAGACATTCTTGGGCACAACATGTCCATTCATGACGAGGTCTGTCGATTCGTTACGTTATCTGACGCCGCTTTGTGCTCTGGAGTCCGACTCACGTCCGACTCACGCTGCACGTACCCTTGGTGTGGCGCAAGGTGCTCCTGGAGTTTCGTGGGACACGCATGCGCCTGGTGTTGGCAGACTTTGGGCTCGCCAGGCTCTACAACGTGCCATTGAAGGTGGGGTCATCCGCAGAGTTGGGATGTTTCGATTGAAGTCGCAGTGCCTCCCCAATTGGCGGTGGTCAGTCTGTTGCTCATGGAGCTCAGACTTGTAATCTGTTGTGCATAAGCCTGGCCAACGTTAAGACAGTTAAGACGACCAGAGCAGTGTTTGGACTCTTGGAACATGCAACCACAAATGGCCAGAAATGGGCTGGACTTGGACATGGAATGTCACCAGAGGAGTTGAAGTTTTATGGCCTCGATTTTGGATGGCTCCAGCTTGGGTTTTCGCACTGTGAGTCGGGATCAGGTTTACACTCACGATATTGTCACGTTGTGGTACCGACCTCCCGAGATTCTCCTCGGCCAGGCACGGCCCGAAAGTCATGAGGTCATTCATTCAAGAAACAGTTGCGAGGCACTTTGAAAAAGTAGAAATGGCAAGAATAGTCCCTGAAAACACTCTCTTGACATCATGCATGACATCTCAGCCCACTTTTGAGGAGCAGTATGGGCCAAGCACAGACATTTGGTCAATGAGCTGCATATTTGCTGAGATGGCCACGGCGCATGCCCTTTTCACGGGCGATTCCGATCCTCTTCAATCAGAGCGGTCGGATGTGTGGTGGTGAGTGCATCAACACACGAACTATCACGAACTGATTGAAGTTGTTCTTGGCTTTGAGAATGTTTGGCCATGCAAGGAGATTGACACCATCTTCAAGATATTCCGTGTGCTTGGCACTCCTGATGAGGAGGTTGGAGCATTTCGAAAATGCGCAAGAATCCCAGGACCTTTTAAGAAGTCTGTGAAAGAGTAGTAATGTTTAATATATATATATTATAGTACAATATGCCGTTTATTGAAGGAGGGAGTCGTAGAAATAGGATCTTGACCTAGGCTTGAGACTGATTGACAAAGGATGTATATAGATGGATTTGGGACATGCTGTGACTTTCGCTTGCAGGTTTGGCCTGGTGTGACTCGCTTGCGTGACTTTAAGCAGACCTTTCCTCGCTGGCGCAACACGGACTTCGCACAAGTCCGGGCTGCTGCGGGAGCCAGGCAAAGGGGCCAGTTGTTTTGAGCTTGTGGTTTTCACATTGCCTCATGGCACCCCAGCAAAGTCTGTTTGCTTCTAATTCTCGCCGGTAGGTTCAGCAATGATGGGGTGGATCTTCTGCGACAATGCTTGAAATACAATTCAGCAGAGAGGCCATCGGCCAAAAAGATGTTGACTTTTCGCTACTTCGAGGAGGAGCCAGGGCGCTAGCCACGGTGCTAGGCGCAAGGCGGGTGTGAGGCGCACGCGCGAGACGGCCGAGAGGCCTGTGCCACAAAGCACGTTGTGTACAGATGATTCCACCATGAGGTCTACCAGTCAAATACTTTCAAGTGTAGAAATTTGCATGCTCCTAATTTGAGCTCGCTAGAAGGAGCTCAGGCATCTGGCAGCAGCAGCAGTTGTGGCCCTGATCCTGAACACGAGTCCATGATTAAACAGCTTCGTTCTTGCAGAAATTTGCCGAATGCCTGGCTTCCAGTCAGACACAGATCACGGGCACGAGTCGGCGCGGCCAGAGTTGCCGCGTAAGCCGTCCATAGGCCTCATTGAGAGAAGCAGCCCATAAGCTGATGCACCGTGATGGGGGATCCGCACACAGAATTCCTCTGTGTATGGCAAAGATGCTGCCAAAATCCTAGTATATACTGTTGAAATTATTGCAAGGGGATGTGGTTGCTTGCAGGGCCAGGGCGCTTGGAAAGACGAGATTGCAAAATACTGCGTTCATAGCTAACGGCTAAAGTTAAAGCAGCCTCCTGACTTTATATAATCCTATTTGCTTCTTGACTTTGCCCAATGTGGTGGACCCTGACCTGGCTTCCTGTGGAAGCAGCCGAAATAGTGCATGGCTAACCTGCTGTGCCAAGGGTTTCATGGAGCAGCTATGCTGCCTTTAGATGGCACAGTGCCAAGAGTACATGTCAGCCCCGCTTGAAGGCCCTGGCAGTCCTTGTCAATGCTGTTTGGATGCTCGCCTGGTCATGGCCATGCCTTGCTTTTCTGTAAATGGGATGACTGCGAGAGGGAGGGAGGTGGCCTGTGTTTTTGACTTTTGTGTCCGAGGCTGTATAGCTGCACACGTTGGGGAAAAAGGAACAATTGTGCTTGACACTGACAACCCCGACTCTGTACAACAACATCCCACCCTTTGTAGCATTGAAGAATATTGCTTGGGTTTAAGCGCTACTAGGGGCTCCTGGCATCGCTACTAGGAGCAAGGACGCTACTACTTCTTGCACGCCAAGCGTGTGAGCGGGATGGCACGTGTATCGTGCTTTGTTCAGTTCGACTCCAGGAGTTGAAAGTGGCATGTACCACTGGCACCCTTACCGACATGAAGGCTGGTGCAGGTAGGTATACCTTTTCCAGCTTGGCTTTGTTCTTAGGAAGGCTGGTCCAAAGGTCGAAAGTGTCTCTCAATCTAGGAGTGTTCACGCAAACCCGCCTCCAAAAAAGGCAACGGAACGACACGAAAAGGACGAAAGAAAGAATGCCAGAGCCATGATCTTGTCCTTGTGCGCAGGGTGGGCGCTCTACATCATGCTGTTGTTCCCTAGGCTTAGAGGCACCCGAGGCACCGCGGAGATTGGCAGCGTGACTGTCAGAACTCTTTGCCGATTGTTTCCAACGCTTCATTGACTTGGAATGATTGCGTGTCGATGTAATGAGATGCGTTCAGGAGTAGCAAGAATACTGACACCAGATGCTAGGGCCAATCAATTTAGTAACCTATTACCTTTTTGGGTGAGAAAGGTGTACCCGTACTATGTCCTGGCCAGGATGGGATGCCAGGACGCTCACGGTAGTGGATCACCGCTACCTGAAAAGGCCTGGGAGCGTTTGGGTCCCTTTGAGGCCGTGGGAAGCGTTCCCAGGCTGGACTGCGAAAGCAAGAACTGGACGACCTTTCGGCATCTTCTGGAGGCAAGAATCGAGGCTGGCTGTGGTGCAGATGGGTCTTTTGTCGGATGAGATGGTCAGATGATACTTTCAGATTAGACCAGGCTGGTGGTTTCCTTGGACGTGATGCAGAAGTGCAGATGCTGGCGGAGAGCAAGGAACTTTGCTACACGGTGTTTTGTGCCGTATAGGCACGTGCTTGTGACTGCTAGTGCCAAAGGCGGATCTTTGTTTTGGCACTGACAAACTGCCGCATGCAAGGTCTTCTGAGCAACTCTGAGAAGGTGTTCCATAGCCAAGAGCTGGCGCAGGAGTTCTGGTCGACGCTTGGCCTTGCATGTTTGTGCGTGTCTTGGTAACAGGTGCCACGCCCCAATGTTCTTCCGAGTCCAAATGTTGACAGCTGCCCTTTGCCACCAAGGATCTTGGTAGGAGAACGCAGGCAGGTGCTTTCCGAAGTTTGTTCCTGCTTTTCTTTGGAAGCTGAAATGAAATGACAGGCACCCATATCCCCAGCACTGTTTTCCAGGCTATCAGGTGGGGAAGGGAGAGTGAATGGATGACCTGCAGTCCTTCCGAAAAGCATGACCTGTCGCTCAGGCGGCGTGCTTGATGCGGGTGCTGCATTTGGCTGCGGAGGAGGCGGGGGCGAACAACTGAACAAAACAATCTTGCTGCGGAGGTACTATGAGGTGCTGATTGTTTTAGAGTTCCAGGATGCCACCAATGCTACATGCGTCAACATGTGTGATTGCGGACGTATGCGAGTCTTGCTTTCACGAATGAAACACAAAAAGAGAGTGCAAAGATGCAACGATTCCTATATAGGTATATATTCTCTCGTGAATGGGTGTAAGTAGACCGTCGGAGAAGCATTGTCACCTGCGGAATGTTCATCCTACATACTACAGGCCTTGTCCATTCCACTTAGAACTCTTGAGACGCTTTAGATCATTTGGGCTGTGGAGCCATGGGTGCGGGCGCTTCGGCTCTTGCTGCGCAGCTCGAGGCTGCAGCTGCTGAGGATTTTCGTAGGGTCCTTAAGGCGCTGCCAAGCGAAGAGCAACGGCGGATCCAAAGCGCTGCGGCATTGGCCACGTCATCGGCCTCGGAAGCGGCGGAGATTCCAAGCGCCTGGAGGTGGCCGAAAGAGCCCTTCGACCCTGAAGCCTTGCGGGTGTATGTTTTGGATGCCACGAAGCCAACCCAGCAAGAGGCATGGGATGATGCTTTGGCAGCAAGGTCCATCGATGGGAAGAAGGAGGACTTTGTGGAGGAAAAGGCTTTTGCCAATTTGCTCCTCAATAAGGAGGGTACTGGAGAGCAGCGAAAGGATTGTGGCATTGATCCTCACGCGTATGAAAAGGGGAAATGGTATCGCTTTCTCAACTTCAAGGGTGATTGCTATGCCACTGATTGATGTTTGCCAGAAGGCTTTGTCATTGATTTGCAGACCTCAGTGCTGGTGGTAGCCTGAACTGTGCGGACAAACAAACCCTTATACAAATGACAAATAACTGTGATTGTGACGGCCGCCTCAAGCTTCTATGCAGGGTTGGGGCGCGGCGCTCTCGGAGGCCCTCTCCCTTTTCTCTGTCTTCTCCTCCTCCCTCTCGTGCCCGGCTCACTGCCATCCATCCGTCCTCTTGCCTTTCCTTTCTGGCTCGGCTTTTGGACTTCTCGGTGGACTTTTCCTTGGACTTTGGATTTCGTGGACTTTTCTTTTTGCTGTCCCTTCGACTTCTCCCAGGGGCTCCTCTCCAGAGCCTCCCGGTCCCGGCTTCCGCCGGCGTCCGCAATCCAGACTCCAAGGATACTTGCATGAGTGACATCTCCATCCTGCAGAACGACCTCCGTGAGTTGACAGCTGCAGTAAAGGAGCTAACTCTTGCAGTCCGAGCCCGACCGGTGCAGAGGGTCGACAGCCAGCGGGGGGCATCGGCTTCCGTCTCTTCGGAAGCATCGAGGTTGTGGGAGTTGGTGGAGAATAGTGGAGGCATCCCAGGAGCGCCAGCGAATTTCTTGGAGGTGGACCTTGAGATACAGTTTGAGGACGGCCCGGGGCCTACTCCGCAGTTCTGCATTGATTCAGCCAAGAGACACCTCACATCCACGAGACACCACTCGGAAGATCGTGCACGAGCAGCATTTGTTGCAGGGTTCTGGGCCAAAGCTTTTTGGGCTTGCAACTCCCCGTATCCTAGCACTTACAGGCCTGGCATTCCAGCTACTCATTGGGTGCTTCGTCGAGGTCCAGGCTTCGATTTGGTTCGGGTGACATCGCAGGCAGACAGCAATCGTCTCTGCAAGGATTTCCCAGAGATTGAGTTTGTGGAGAAGGTTCCTAGCCTGACAGAGCTGCATATCTTTTGCGCGGGGGCGAAAGCTCCCGTCCCTCCCTTGTGGAAATGGACAGGAGACAAATAGCTTTTGCTTCGGACCAAGAAGAACCCTCCTTGCTCATCTTGACCGTCCCGGCCGAGCTTGCATTGGGAGGGGAAGAGGTTCAGGCTTTTGCAGTGCCCTTGGATGCACGTCGTGGCGGCCTTTTGCTGGCTTTACCTTGTGGCCTTTTTGCTGATGAGCATTTGAATCCAGCAGGAGGTTTTGTCGAGGATGCTTTGTTGGGGCCGTCGCATGAATTCGAAGTTGGTATGTTGGAAGCGGATGAGAGTGGCTTGGCCCATTCCACAGGTTTCAAGAGTTCCATTTTGGTGGCCGATTTCACCAATGCAGTGCTTCAGTTTTTGAGAGAGTATGATGCTGTCAGTGATGATGTGGAGGATATTGCACCCTTTGTTGCTGCACTTCCTTCAGCTTTGCCGGCAGCAGATGAGCTCCTTCGTGCTGCTCTGGATTGGGCTACCGGGGAGACAGCTATGAGGATCCATTTTTACAGTGCTCGAGACGAGCCGGCAGTTTCCAAACCAGCGAGTCCTCCTCCCAGGCAGCCCGCCCTCCGAAAGGCCGGAGCAAAGCGAATCACAACGGCAGGCCTCTCCGAGCAGCTGACTGCGCTCACAGCCCAGGTGGCGCTCCTCCAGGCCTCCCAGATCCCACCAGAAGCCAGGCCCCACGGCGAGGTACCCCCTCTGCCTGGCTCCCAGAATCCAGCCTCTGCAGGTCCTGCACAAGGTCCCAGCAGCACCGCCTATGTTGGCCTCTACAAGATGCCACCTGTATCCCTCGGATTGGGGACGCCAGCCAAGCAACCATTGACACCGGCAAAAGCTCTTCAAGTGTTGGGGCCTCCACCCAAAACCAGAATGGCCTCACCAAGTGGAGTTCCAGTTCAACACTTGGACGAGCCCAAGGACCCCCTGAAAGCCCCTCCCGAGCAGCTGGAGACTACTTTGTCCCAACAGTCAGCCGCCCTGACAGCACTCGTGTCCCATTTGATCCAAGGAGGAGATGCCTTTGGTCTCGAGTCTTCAGGAGCAACAGGGGGAAGTTTGAGTTCTACAAGAGGCACCATGAGAAGAGAGCAGCTGCAGCAGCTCCTTGCTACAGGCCAGTCGCACTTTTTCATGATGCTGCAGCAGCAGATTTGCCGGAGGCTTCAACCATCCAATGTGGCGCCGAAGACCGAGGAGGAGCTGAATCTTCGGGCTCCTTCCTTGCAGACCTATCTCGAGCGTTATGGGGGCTTCAAGGGCCAAAGGGAAGCAGGCCTCAGCATGTGGGTCATAGCTCATGCGGTGGACGCCGCCTCGCGTGGGGACTTCCACATGACGCGAGAGTATCTGGCCTTGGCAGTTATGGGATTAGAGCAGAGTGCCTTCGATGTGGGAAGCTGGGATTTGGCTTACATCGTCACCCTGGCAGAGGATCCTCCATCTGCACTGTTCCAAGAGAAGATGAGCTCGGTGACAGCGTCAGCTCGACCCTTTGCTCCCTTGATCCCGGCCAGCCTTGCAACAATCTCACTGGCCTACTTGAAAGAGATCGACGTTCTTCAGAGCCGCCGCCAGGAGATCAGGCCGAGAAAAGGTCAGCCCAGCAAACAGGAGGAAGAGTCGACCCCCAGTCCACGGAGGAGGCCGAAGTTCCCAAAGAAGCCGAAGGCTCTTGCCGACGGCACAGCCTAGCATCAAAGAAGCAGGACGAATTCAGAGGTGGCATCAATGCAGCTTCCTCTTTTGTGCATGTCGGCTCTGGGAGGGACCTGCCTGAGGCTTATGCCTCTACAAGGCCTCCCCGCTCCCCTTTGCCTGGGGCTAGTGATCGGAGGGGCAAGCTCTCTGAGAACCAGCCTGAGGCCGGGTCGAGCAGCCATCAGTTCCTTCATACCAGACAGGCCAGCTGCCCAATGTGGATGTCGAAGTTGACCACACTGGTGTTGAAAACGAGATGTACTTTTTCCTCATTTTTGTCGTATTCCATCCAGATTTCCAAGAGGCCTCTTCCTCGAACCTCTCGGACACCGTCCTTGTTCCCTGTCCCTGTTCCTCACGAAGGAGCATTCAGCAGGAAGCCCACTGGCGTCTCAAGCGCTAAGAGGAGGTCGTTTGCCTTGGAGCGAGCTCTTCATATTTGTTGCATGGCTCTTAATTTCTGGCACTATGGGGGCTCTTTCTTGGAGGCAGATCTTCTGTGGAGGGAACCAAATGCAGCTCACTTGCGTCTCTATGCTCAGCTGCGATCCTTTATCAGGGCGGACGGCCCTCGTGATAGCTTTGATATGCTTCATGTCGGTCGAAAGAATCCAGAATTGATTGCACGCCTTTCTGAAGTCTCAGCTCTCTTGGTGAAGTTGGGATGCTCTATGTCTCCATATGACAAGTCCTTCGTTGGCTATGAGGTGAAAAAGGAAAACACGGTCATGCCGGAGCTGGAGCCATATCGGGACCTTGACCCCAGCCGTTTGAAACTCTCTGGCAGTGGCGCCTGGGACGTCACGGCTTTTCTCCCCGACGACCTCGTTATGGCCTACAGGGAGCCGGAGTCAATCCGATTGCAGCGAATTCCTGAGGCTTGGGAGTATCCTCGTATCCGTGACGAGGCCAGTACTGTTTCTGACCTTGCAAAGCTTTGGGATGAGCACGATTTGCTTTTCCTTCATCAAGAAGGTGTTCAACAACGGCAGGAGTTTGAGCTTGTGCGCATCTTCAATTGTTACAAGTCTATAGACAAGGACAGGCAGATTGGTGACCGTCGGGGCCGTAATGCAATAGAGTGCAAAGTGCAAGGTCCTTCGGCTTCTCTTCCAGCAGGCCCTGACCTTTGTGACATAGCAGTCAACTTGAAGTCTCAACGCATCGCCATCTCTGTGTCTGATCGCAGGGACTTCTATCATCAACTTTGGGTCACCAAGGCCAAGGCTGTCACCAATACTTTGGGCCCAGGGCTTCCTATCTCCTGGGTGGAGGATACATCTGCATATGGCTCCTTTATGTTGGCACAGTCCCTAAAGAGGTACAAGAGGAGTGAGCACGGTGACCTTCTCCATCGGGCCAAGTCCACTCGTGGGGATCCAAATAGATTGGTGTGGGCCTCGTTCAAGAGCATCTTGCAGGGGGACCATGCAGGAGTTGAAATTGCTACCGCAGCTCATTTACAGTTGTTGAAGAACTATGGATTGCTAGCAGCAGATTCTCACCTGCAGTCCACGACTCCCTGTTTTTCGGATGACTTGATTGAAGGTCTGGTCATTGATGACTACTTTGCCCTCTCGGTCGATGACAAGGGGATTTCAGATGAAGGTACTCTCTCCGCTGAAGCCTACAAGCAAGCACAAGTAGCATATTCTGAAAAGCAGCTGTTGGGTTCTCCTGAGAAGGACATCTTCGCGGCAAAAGAAGGCAAAGCTATTGGTGCCTATGTCAACGGCGGCGATAGAGCGCTTTCACAAGGAGTCTGCACAGTCGGAGCACCTGCGGAGAAAAGGTTTGCTTTGTCGGCATTGACCTTGGAGCTTTGCGCATTACCTTACACTACGGTATCTCTACATCGATGCATTGTCGGGGCATGGGTTTCAGCTTTGCTTTTCCGGAGGCCCTTGATGGGCATTCTGAATGAGTGCTTTAGGCTGGAGGCCACAGTCGAGGGTATTTCTGATTCAGCATTGATCCCTTTGCCACGCTCAGTCGCCTGTGAATTGGTCCTGGTTGCTACACTGGTGCCTTTTGCAGTTTCGGATGTCTCGGCCCCTTTTGAGGACACTCTTTATGCTGCTGACGCCTCTGACGAGAGGGGTGCTATTGTTGCTGCAGATGTGGGGGCTGAGGTTGTCCGGCTCCTTGGCAAAGTTTGCAAGACCAAAGGTTCCTATACTCGCTTGCAACCACGCTGGAGCAGGTTGATGCAGAAGCTGGATCTAGTCGAAGATGAGAGAGAAGAAGAGGGCTTTCCCGGAGGTGTTGACCGCCCCCTGGCCTTTTCTTTTGAGTTCATCGAGATCTTCGCGGGGTCAGCTCGGGTCACCAAGGCCCTCTTGTCTTTGGGGGTCAGTTGTGGCCCACCCATTGACCTTAGCCTGTCAGAGGAGTACAACTTGAAGCAAGTATTCGTTTTGGAATGGCTCTATCATTTGCTGGAGCGAGGTTCCCTTCGAGCATTCATGGTTGAGCCTCCATGTACGACCTTCTCTATCATGAGGAGGCCGGCTCTTCGCGACAAGTTGCACCCCCTGGGCTTCAATCCAGGAGACCCTCAAACTCATGATGGGAACGTCCTTACTTTACGATCGCTGCAGTTGATGCGCAAAGCACTGGTGCATCGAGTGTCAGGTATTTTCGAAAGGCCCTTCTCCGCCAAGACCAAGTACTTGTCTGCTTACCAGGATTTGCTCTCTCATGCTGGCGTTGATGAGGTCAGAAGCGATTCCTGTCAGTTTGGGTCTATACATCAGAAGTCGTTCGCCTTCCTGGGGGTCAATGTGGATCTGCAACCCTTGGCTCGGCGTTGTCAGGGAACCTGCCAGCATGTGCCTATAGCAGGATCTTATACCAAAGCTTCTGCAGTCTACACCCAGGAATTGGCCGCAGCTCTGGCATGGGTTATTGCTCATGCCATCAAAGTTGTCAGGGCTTCTGATCCCCTTGGTGGCACAGTCAACACAGAGGGTCTGGAGAATCAGCTGGTCAACGAGCTTGCTCTTGGTTGTTCGTGGAGGGTCGAAAACTCTTGGGCTTTCAAGAAACAGCAGCACATCAACTTGCTTGAGATGAAGGCCGTCGAGAAGTTGGTCTTCAAAGTTGCAAAGAAAGGCCCCAAGAGATTTGTGTGCCTGGTTGACTCGAATGTGTCTCGTGGAGCCCTTGGAAAAGGAAGATCTGCTTCAAAGGCCTTATCGGCGGTACTTCGTCGCATTGATTCATGCCTGGTTGGCTTTGGATTGTATTTGACCACTCCTTTTTGTCCTACCAGGCTCAATGTTGCAGATGACCCTACAAGATCCAGGAGCATTCGCCCGTCAGTGCAAGGCCTTGGTTGGAAGAACCTCTCCAAGAGGAGCCTTTGGGATCTTGCAATGTTGCCAAAGACAAGAAGATGGGCGTCCAACTGGCTCAGGCTTGTTTTGTTGATCTACGGTTTGGCAGTTAGCAGATGGGCTGACCGCTCTTCCTCCAGATGGTCACGTGCGTCAGAGCATGTTCGCTTCCAGGCAGAAACTTGCTGTCCAGTTTGTCCATCCCATGATTTCTCCGTTATCGATTTCGATTCCACCAAGGGCTATCCTGGCGAAGGCCCTTTCCTTTCGGCCTTTGGATTTTGCATCTTGCTTTGCCTCTTTACCAACTCCTCCTTCTCGCCCGCCTGGCACTTCTGGCTCTTCCTCCCCGCTCACTTTGGCCTCTGAGAGTTTTCCCGGGGGCGCGGGTTGCGGTAGTGTTTTCCCTGCTCCTTAACCAGGGAGCTGTTGCCATGGAACCTTCCACTGCCGCTGAAAAGGCGAGAGCTGAGTTTCGGGCTTTGAGGCCCGCGCTGCCAGAAGGTAGACCAACGTTGGAGGCGACGAATAAGCTGCGACTGAAGTATTGGTCGATTTTTGAGAAGTGGCTTGCCTCTGAGGCAATTGACATTGCACCCTTGTTGGAACAACCCACCTTTTTCATCGAGGAGCTAAATGCGATTTTGACGCGTTTTGGAAGAGTTCTTTACACAGCTGGTAGGCCCTACAATCAGTATGCCGAGACCATAAATCATCTGACTTCGTTGAAGCCATCCATCCGTCGACAGATGCAAGGGTCTTGGGATTTAGCTTACAGCTGGATGGCAGCTGAACCCACGTGTCATCATGTTGCTATGCCCTGGCAGGTTTTACTAGCCATGGTTACAACCTGCTTGTTGTGGGGATGGGTTCCTTTGGCTGGAGCTTTGTCTTTGTGTTGGGGTGCTTTGCTTCGGGCAGGCGAGTTTCTGTCTGCCACTCGTGCAAACCTCCTGTTACCCCGTGACGTGGATGAAACAGTTCACTACGCAATGCTTGCTATTCTGGAGCCAAAAACCAGGATGTCCGGAGCTAAACACCAAACCGCTAAGCTAGAAGTTCCTGACCTACTACAAGTTGTGGATCTTGCTTTCGGGCACCTTCCGCCTACAGCTAAACTTTGGTGCTGGTCAGGTCAGACTTTGAGGCAGAGGTTCAAAGATGTTCTTGCAGCGCTCCTTCTTCCCACAGAGCGATATGGAAGCCTCAAAGCGCTGGACTTAGGCTCGCTTCGAGCTGGTGGTGCTACCTGGCATCTAGCAACAACAGAAAATAGTGAGTATACACGCAGGAAGGGCAGATGGTTAAACCATCGCATCATGGAAATCTACGTTCAAGAAACTGCCGCTTTACTTTACCTTAAGAGAGTTGCGGAGCCTGCAAAAGAGCGTGTCCTTAATTTTGCTGCTTTGTTTCCGAATGTGCTCGCCCAGAGTCAAAGATTTCATGGTATGCGCCTGCCCTGGAACATGTGGAGACACCTCTATGGACAAGAAGCTTGGGCTGGTTGGAGAGAATGAGGTAAGCTGCCAACATGGCAGCCTGTGGAACTTGTTGTTGGATGG